AAAAAAAATTGTGAATTGCCGGTCATATGATTGGTAGCACCTGAATCTAATATCCAGGAGCCATTAGATTTGGTGCAAGCAACGGGTGTGCTAGAGAACAAGAGGAGTTAGAGTTTCCTAAAGATTGGGACTGAAACATTTTTTGTAGGTGCTCTATCTGTTCCTTTGTAAAAGGAAGGGATGCTGATGGAGATTCCTGCTCTGGATCCGTGCGGCTTGCTTGGAATGCGCGGACATCTCCCCCTGGCCTGGTGTCACTGCCGGGTCTTTTCTTCAAGTTTGCTGGTTTCCCGTGTAGTTTCCAACAATTTTCCCGAGTATGCCATGCTTTCCTGCAAAGGTCACACCAGGGCCTCTGCTTACCTCCACGCCTGTCTCCTTCTGGCTCTGTGCCTCGAATTACAAGAGCAGATCCCTCGCCATCTATTTTTGGTTCATCAATGTTTTTCAACATCACATGCCGCCATGCTTCTTCTCTACGTAACTCCGCAAATACTTCTCTTATCGTTGGCATAGGTCTTTTCCCTAATATACGTCCTCGAACCTCATCAAGTTCTTTATTCAAACCAGCCAAGAACACAAATACCCGGCCTCTCTCAACCTTCTTTTTGTGCCGAGCACTGTCATTCGAGTTCTTCGAACATATCCAATTCCTGCCACACTGTCATCATATCATTATAGTAGGCTGTTACCTCATGGTCACCTTGTTGCATCTTCCACATCCGAGTGTTCAACTCGAACAATTGTGAGTGGTTGTCTAGATCAGAATAGGTTTACCGGACTGCCTCCCAGACGTCACGGGCTGTCGGCAAGAACATGAAGGGCTTTCCAACAACAGGATCCATCGAGTTGATCAGCCATGCAGTCACCATGGAATTTTCTGAACGCCACTGCCTGTATTTTGGATCACTAGTGGCTGGGGGTTTTACTTCTCCATTCAAGTACCCGAGTTTCCCTTTGCCATCGATCACCAACCGTACAGATTGAGACCACTCAAGGTAATTCTTTCCATTCAATTTGTGAATGGTAATTTGAAGGGAATGCTCAGAGAAGGAAACAGCCGGAGTTGACTATGAAACTGTCCCCGATGAAGCCAACCATGGCGGCTTTAAAATTCATAATCGAGCCCTAGGCTCTGATACCATAAAGGAGAATACATGGGACGGAAAGAGAGAATTGCTCTCTTATTTTCTTATTCATTCCAGGAAACAAAACACATTTAGACAAGAAGAATACACGGCTAACCCTAGGATCCCACATAATCAGGAATTTTATTCTATTCCTTGATTCTTTCCTAATTTATTCAAAAAATCAAATCCTAACCTAACATTCCTGATTTACCGACAACAATGGATAGTGGTCTGAAACATAAGTGCATTATTTCCTTGCTAATTTCCATCTCAGGTGTTCTCCTCTTTTTGATAGTTTTCCTTCCTTGGATTTCTAGGGAGAGGAAAATGTTAATTGTTTTCTAGAATATCTAATTATGTTTTCTCCAGGATAACATAAGTGCATTATTTAGTGGGTAGATTTGATTGTAGAGGGGACCAATTTCTTTCATCGTCACTGACCTAGGTTGAGATCAGGACCACATAAGATTGATCACTGTTTTTGCATCTTGATTCCCCTGAGTTGTCACTGTCAATATCTGGTTTAGGGTTTATTCTCTCTTTTCTCTCGTTAGATATATAGTTGATCTTGTTCCTCTTCTATTTTGCCCCTTTTCTCTGGAAGATCTTATATTATATATATTTTTTCATGTTAAACAAGACTACCGCATGGTTGCTTGTAGAGCCCTGCAAGGACTTTAAAGGAATCAATCTCCCTTAGAAACAGTTTCCTTGGCTATCTTAAATAGAGAGGCGGGACAAGTTACCAGCTAATAAAAGAGATCACAGACAAGGGATTGGCCTGCATTTCATGATAAGGAAGCTACAAGTAGTCCTTTTCCAGGTGATTTGGTATGTGTTTGTCATCTTGTTTATTTTCATTTGCAATATTTAGTGTATAACGTTAACTTTGAACGTAGTTTTTCTCTTCTTGTCATTGAACTTTGAACTTAGTTTTTCTCTTCTTGTCTTGTTCTCTTTTTGGTGTTTCCTAGCATTTGTGAAAAGTCCAAATTTTGTTTCTAATCTTTGTTTCTCTATATTTTCCTTACTTCTCTTGCCATGGGTTTTGTAGAAATTCGGATTAAGTATTTAAAATAGTATCTGGATTTTTAGGGATTTGAAATACATGTAGATCCAAAAATCGTAATTGATGATGTGGAGCCAACATCCGTGGATGATTACAACGATGGTGATCCCATGTTCGAATATCTAAATTGATTTTTAGGTAAATTGATGTTCGAATCTCTCTCCTTCTCTGAGCGAAATTGTTTGATTTCATGATAGTTTAATAAGAATTTTCTTTTTCCTATCAACTTCACTTTTCTTATCACTAATGGTGACAAAACAACCAGGAATCTAGAGTTTTTGCCTCCTATAGCAGTCATGACATTTGAGTGAGTAAAAGGAAAGGAACAAGCGGGGTTTTGGGGGTGTACTTTTTTCACTGAAAACAAGGGAACAATCCTTTTTAACTTTTTTTTAATTGTTATATGTGAAAACTCCCATATTGACATATATAGACTAACAATACTTTTTTGTAGTTGGGTCTGGCTAACCTAGTGCCTTGGAAGTATGATCTCCTAAGAAAAGCTGCTTCTTAAGATATAATTATGTACTATATATCAGATTTTATTACTAAAATTGAACTATTATTCAAATATAGGTGTACGCAGAATTTAGCCTGGTTAATATTTGCTTTTAAGTTCTTCATTTTCTATGTATTTCAAAGGAGTTATGGAGGTTTGTAGGGAAGGTCTAAACAACCTTCCTTTACTTCCTCCCTCAGACAAGCCGCATTCAACCTTATTGGATTATATATTTCAAACATCTCTGTTATGCAGCAATCATTTCATACAATTGTGTTGAATTTTTTACTTTATTCTTACTTAATATTGATTTCTGATTTTTGCTTCAATTCCCTTATTTATAATTTTTAATTTTTTCCAGGTCCAATTTGAAGTCTTCAATAATTTTTGATCCTTGAACTTCATCATGCCTTACTTCTTCTAGGCAGTTTGATAAATCTGTGTTGTTTTTTAATATCACATGATTTATTCTTGCTTGTTCCATGGATAGAAAAAGGTATTAATGGTTGGATCTCTATCCACCATGGATTGTATCTATTTTAGTTGCTTTCCGATTGCTCAAAGTAATCTATGTTTTAGAAGTTATTTTATTAAGTTTTTCATTTTTTTAGTGTCTCTTTATGAGAGTTTAAAAATAATCTATTATTATGTCTCTTTATGAGAGTTTCATAATTAAAGATGAATTTTGTTATTATTGTGCTATACATATGTTTCTTGGTAAATTACATCTCTTGTTATTCGTTCCCCTTTGTTTTCATTATTTTGGCGACCTGCACTAAGTACGAACAAAAAAAGAATGGAAGGGTGTTCACTCTTCTATTTACATGTTTGTCTTTTCCGAGTTGAAATTCGCCACTTTACACGATCTTCTCAACCATGTTATCCTTCTATTAAGATAAGTCCCATTTTACTTTCTCTATATTTTTCTATTTTTTTGTTTGTATTATTATTTATTATATATCTTGTTTTCTATACTAATTATGCTATTGGTGCTCTCCCAGGTATAAACTTTTCTCAACGGTTGCTGCAATCTTGTCTTTTTCTTGTTCCGGAAGGTTTGGTTAATTATCATTTTGCTCTTTGTTAAAGGCCAATCGTGGTTTACCTTTCATGATTCTTGGATAAGAAAAGGACATTAATGGTTGGATCTTTGTCTGCCACAGATATATCTGTATTTACAGATACTTCTACCTATCTTAAAAAAGAAGAAGATAAGTTCATTCTTTTTTTTTTTTTTTTTTTTTCATTTGATTAATTTAGTTCTTTTATGTCATCACTTATATTTTTATATTTTGCAAGTCCAAAATGATGTCTCCATCAACTTCATGATCTCAGGATCTTTATGTCCTTTTCTTCTTCTGGGGAGTTAAATAAATCATATGTGTTGTTTTTTATATCACGTGATTTATTCTTACTTGCTCTTTAGATAGAATACGACATTATTTGTCCGGATTTCTCTACCAAAAAAAAAAAAAAAATCAAATTGTTTGTAAAATTTGAGGTTTCAAATTGTTTATAATTTATGAACTCAAAAGTTTGTAGTTATGATTTACCCCATTTGACATTTCTTTATGTATAAATTCTTTAGAAACCAAAGAGGATTTTGAAAAATGAGTTGAATTTCTTGATTATAAGGAAATTGAGTTCTATTACGGAGAGTTCTCATATTTTCAAATAAATACCTGTTTGGTGAGCTGCTTTTTTTGTTTTCCAAATTGTAAACTGATATGATGTTTCACATTCTAAAATTTGTGGCTTTTCTTTTCCTTGCGTGTTCAGTCTCAGAATTTTTGTTATTATTATTCCTACTATGGATTTCAAGGTATTAGTGCAAATGAGGCGACCACCCAAAGACAAGGATGAAGAAGGAATGATAGTTTTGAAAATTTCTAATGATTCGTTGATAATCAATGGGAAAACCTTTACATTCGACTCTGTTGCAGATAGAGGCAACGCACTTAAGGCCTTCACGGATACGTGACTTTCTTCATATACTTAAATGAATAGTTTGCTTTAAATGATTGACTTTGATCACAACTTTCTGTTGCTGCTAGATAATTTCTAGCTTATGGGAGCACCACTTGTTGAAAATTGTATGACAGGGTTCAACATTTTCATTTTTGCATATGGACATGTATGTTGAATTTGCCTTTGTTTTGCTATGTGTTGTGATATAGAATATGCGTAACATATATGAAAAGTGATTGTGGTTAAGACGGGATGTGGGAAATACTTTTACGATGCAAGGCCCGGCTAAAGCAATGTTGGATTGAAAGCATTTCTATCAATCAACAAAGTTTAACTCCTCAAGTTTTTGAGCATCTCTTTGCTCGTATAAACGAGGTAAATTTATTCTGTCTTTTGTATTGTTCTAATCTTATTTTATATCATATATCTGCTGGAAGCTGTTTGTGGAACTTCTTTCTACGGGAGCAAAACAAGAATGCTGATAGACAACTCAAGTATCAGTGTCTGTCTCGCTATTCCTTTTTTTGAGGTAGATTTTTGGTGTAATTGGCCTATTTTAACTTTATAATTTCTTCCATTAACTCATTAATTGATTTTTACAGATTTACAATGAACAGATTATAGATTTATTGGATCCTAATCAAAAAATTATTCAGGTGAGGAGGATTGTTTTTCTTTCCCTTTTTAGAAGTTCTCCTTATGTACTACTCACTAGGGCTTTTATCAACTTTTTTCTCCAGAAAAGAGAAGATGCTAAATCAGGGATCTTTGTTGAAAATCTCACAGAGGAGTGTTTACGTACAATGTCAGATGTAAAGCAGCCTTTAATGAAGGTTTGTTCTATAATGCCACGTAGTTAAAATGCATTTTTTTTTTTGATTAAGCTTTGAAACTTTTGACGGTAAGAACCCTTAGAGAAAGCATGTCTTGCGTTACCTCTAGAAGTTTGCACTCAACCTTTTTCGAACAACTTGGTTGGCTCTCTCAAGCATCCACTTAGTTGATAATTACTTCCCCCTATTTCTGATTTCATTGATATATATTTGGTTATTGATGATTAGAATCTCTGCATTCAGCTGCAGCTAAAATAAAACCTTACATTCAATTAGTTGCGATCTATGTTTCTTCTGTTACATTGAGAATATCTATTTGGGCTAATTACATTTAGTTAAGGTAATATATGAGTGCATTTTATAACAACAAACAGTTGTTTTCTTTTCCTGCTTTTTTTTTCTTGTTCTTGTTCTTGTGCTTCTTTGGTTACAATAACAATAACAAAAGAGAACGTAAGTTGTTCATGCTATAAATATGTCTTCAATTTCCATCTTTAAGTATGTAAAATTTGAAAAAAAGGTGAAAATAAAATTAGTCAAAAGTGGATTAACAACATGAAGACTATATTAGCTCTTACAAAAAAGAAAATAAGTCAGCATTAAGTGCTATTTGTCTAACATATTAAAGAAACCATCAAAAGACTTAACACATTAAAGAAAACACGAAGATTATGTCAAACTAAAAGATATGAAGAGGAAATGGTATACCGTCCATCTAGCTTGCAATATATGTCACTGATGGAGTTATTCCTTATTTATTGGGTGTGCTCATTAGCATGTTATGATTTGCATCAAAGAAGTTAGTTTCTTCAAATTTTATTCGAAATATCTATTTTATAAATTTTTTTTTAATTGAAATTTCTTTCTACACCAATTGAGAGAATGAATGACCAACCATATTTCATAATGAACTTGTTACGTCCATCTAAGTTAGGGCCGGCAATATGGGTCACGACACGACGACACGACTCGAAAACGACACGAATTTTACGGGTTAGGGTTGAGAAAAAAGAGGTTCGGGTCAGAATTGGGTCGACCTGAAATTGACACGAAAAATACGGGTCAATTTCGGGTTGGACCCGCCTAACCCGAACACGACACGAAACTCGTAAAAAACTAAAAAATACATATATTTTTCATTTCATATTTTAAATTTTATTATGAACTTGTGATATCATGATAGTTATACTCAAAATCTTATACTATTATTTGCTTAATTTCAATGGATGTTATTGTAATTTAGTGTGTTGTGAATTTTAAGTTATTTCTAATATGTAAAAAACTAAATAAAAGTATACAATTTTCGTGTCAATTTCGGGTTCACGGGTCAATTTCGTGTCACGGGTCATTTTCGGGTCGTGTTGTGTCAGCTCGTAAAGTGGTCGTGTCGTGTTCGTGTTGCGGTTTTTAAAAAATTTCGTGTCACGGGTCGTGTTCGGGTTGACTGAAAATTTTAAAAAAACGATCAAAACACGACACGAACACGACACGTGACACGAATTGCCACCCCTAATCTAAGTACATCTAGTAATTACACTTTGTCAGGACTGCAAATCGGAGGACAAGTGCAACTAGCATCAATGCTGAGAGTTCCGGCTCGAACACTGTTTTCACTTGTGTTATGGAATCGTGCAAGGTGCAGCCAGCCATCCTCTGTTGGACTTTCTTGCTGCTATATATATATATATTTGATTATTGTTGTTTATTTAGCAATGTTTATCAGATTATCGATATATTATAATTGATTCTTCTCATAGTAATGTTGGGGCCCATTAATTAATATTAAACTTTTTTCCCGGTTCTAGGCTTTGTCTAAACTACTCTATTCTCTTCGTTGGTTCCTTCAATTTAATTATTCATTGCTTGATTTCTTTAGTGTATTTCATTAACCCTTAATGAATACAGATTTTAAATTTGATAGTAATTAATTTTAAAGTCTTAACTTTCTTTGCGTTAATTTTCATCTCTAATAACTTTTCCTTATAGTACCCTTTGCTCTTTAAACTATATGTAGATTTCAGGATGTCTGTTTCTTTTTAATCTCATTCGCAATGTTCTGTAATTGTGAAAATTCTTATATCATCTTATTTATTTTTATTTTGTATTAAATTTCATTTATGCTACCATTATCATAGTCTCTTTATATAAGAGTCTAAACAGTTTCTATCATTTATAGTATTCTCTTGTAGAAGTTAAACACTTGTTGTTTTAGTCGTAATTTTTCTTTTCTTATTTGTAATGTCCAATTTAATCTTCAGCCATTTTATTTGTTCTTTATTTTTTGTAATCGTTTACCTCTTCACGTTTAAAAACATAACTTTTAATTTACACTTTTAAACTCTACTGATATTTAATCTGTCTCCTTGAAACTTGCAAAACTATAATTTGATAAGTTACGGGTGGACTCGTGAACGGACTCTGCTTCCTCGTCAACCTCCCCAACAGGTCGTTCCTTCTTCCGCCGATCCACTGATGGTCGCCTCACCATCGACTTTCTCTATTGGGAAGACTTGTTTGGAGGACAATTGTTGCGACAGAGGGTAGCGCTGTGAGACTTGCACTGCCTATGACAATAATCTGACCCGGATGGACGCGAATTCAATTGTTCATCCCAACTTTTTAGGTACGCTACACTGCACTCTTTTGATTCTATTGGATATTCATGACTTTTTTCAACAAAGAAAGGCTCATGCATACCTCTCCCCTGGTTGATGTGCCCACTGTAAAAGTCATGTTGAGACTCTAGGCTATAATTTGATAAGCTACGGGTGGACTCGTGAACGGACTCTGCTTCCTCGTCAACCTCCCCAACAGGTCGTTCCTTCTTCCGCCGATCCACTGACGGTCGTCTCGACATCAACTTTCTCTATTGGGGAGACTTGTTCGGAGGACTATTGTTGCGACAGAGGGTTGCGCTGTGAGCCTTGGACTGCCTATGACAATAACCTGACTCGGATGGACGCGAATTCAATTGTTCATCCCAAATTCTAAGGTACGCAATCCAAATTACACTGCACTCTTTTGATTCTATTGGATATTCATGACTTTTTTCAACGAAGAAAGCCTCATGTATACCTCTCCACTGGTTGATGTGCCCACTGTAAAAGTCATGGTGAGACTCTAGACTACCTTTTCCTCCACTGCCCTTTTTCCTTGGATATTTGGGTTCGGATTTTGAGAGTTTGCTTTTTCTTTGGTGATTCCTAGTGGGACAGTTGATCTTTTCAATGGTGATTTTGTGTTTGGTAGAAGCAATAGTGTCAAGAGATTATGAACATCTTGCTACTACTTGGGCTTTTTCCTTGGATATTTGGGTTCGGATTTTGAGAGTTTGCTTTTTCTTTGGTGATTCCTAGTGGGACAGTTGATCTTTTCAATGGTGATCTTGTGTTTGGTAGAAGCAATAGTGCCAAGAGATTATGAACATCTTGCTACTACTTGGGCTTTTTCGCTAGAAAGGAATGACGAGTTTTTAATGATTTAGAGGGTAATGTGACTAAGGTTTGGGATATAATTAAGTATTGGGTTGCTCTTTGGCTTTTCCAAGCCTTTTTTTTGTAGAGTGTGGGTTTTCTTTATTTTTATGGAGGTTGCTAAATGGGCTGGTTGTTAATTTCTAATTGAAGATGACCATGCCTCCTACTAATTTATAGACTGTTGTAGAATGCTAAAGTTTGAGGTTTTCTCTTTTCACATTTAGAAGGTATGTGCCTAATCAGATGTCCTTTCTTTTTCCCGTTTCTTTTTTTTGTCCTCTTACTGAAACTGTCATCTCACTTAAGTATGTCTAGAGTCCTAATGGCAGAATCTTATTTCCGTTGTTTGTTGTTTGGTTTGAATACTTCTAGGTGGTAATGTTAAATGTTTCCTCAACACTGTCTAATTTTGTGTTCTATTTATGTGCATACCCTACTTAGTTTTCTATTTTATAACAAAGGAAAATGAGTTGAATTTTGTGTTTCTATTTTATAAGAGAGAAAAATGAGTTGAATTTTTTGTTGCCCTTGGTTGTATTTTCTTGTATGCTTGGGCTTTTTTTACTTTCTTTCGTTTCTTTTGCCATTTTGAGGAAACCTCTTCGTCTTTGTAGTTCTTTTTAGTTGTCTCTAATAAAGCTTTCCTTGTTTCTTTTCAAAAGAAAAAAAAATTATGGGTTTAATTGCGCATACTATATTATGCGAACTATTCTTTCTTTTTGAGGGTTATGAGGTTTCTTTTGTATTATGGATTTTTCTCGGTAATTTATCAAAAGGCTCTTTTCTGAAAGTTAAAAGCAATCTATGTTCCAGAAGTTATTTTATTAAGTTTTTCATTATTAGTTTCTCTATATGAGAGTTTTGAAGTAATCTATTATTATGTCTCTTTATGAGAGTTTTATAAGTTAAGATGAATTTTTTTATTATAGTTCTATACATGTGGTTCTTGGTAAATTATATCTCCTGTTATTCGTTCTCCTTTGTTTTATTATCTCGGGGACCTACACTAGGTGCGGGTGTAAAAAGAATGGAAGGGTTTTTACACTTCCTACCTTTTATATGTTTGTCTTTTCTGAGTTAAACTTCACCAGTTACAGGATCTTCTCACACATGCTGTCCTTCTTTTAATGATGAGTCCCATTTTATTTTCTCTGTATTTTACTATTTTTTTTGTTTGTATTATTATTTATTATACATCTTGTTTTCTATACTAATTATGCTATTGGTGCTCCCAGGTATTAACTTTTCTCTACGGTTGCTACAATCTTGTCTTTCTCTTGTTCTGGAAGGTTTGGTTAATTATGATTTTGCTCTTTATTAAAGGCCAATCGTGGTTTACCTTTTATGTTTCTTGGAGAAGAAAAGGACATTAATGGTTGGATCTGTCTTCCACGACGTATACTTCTACCTATCTTAAAAAGATAAGTTCATTCTTCTTTTTTTTTTCATTTGATTAATTTAGTTCGTTTATATTATCTCTTATATTTTTATATTTTGATGGTCCAAAATGATGTCTCCATCAACCTCATGATCTTAGGATCTTTATGTCATTTTCTTTTTCCGGGCAGTTAAATAAATCTTGTGTTTTTTTTTTTTATATCACGTGATTTATTCTTACTTGCTCTTTAGATAGAAAACGACATTATTGGTTCCGACTTCTTTCCATCATGGATTGTATGTCTTTGTACTCTCTCTACTCAAAAAAGAAAAAAAAGAAAAAAGAAAAAGTCAAATTGTTCGTAAAATTTGAGGTTTCAAATTGCTTGTAATTGATGAAGATAAGGTTTCCTTATGAACTCAAAAAGTTTGTAGTTATGATTTACCCCCTTTGACATATCTTTATGTATAAATTTTTTAGATTCCAAAGAGAATTTTAGGTTGTACTTTGAAAAATGAGTTGAATTTCTTGATTATAGGAAAATTGAGTTCTATTACGGAGAGTTCTCATAGTTTTAAATGAATAGCTGTTTGTTCAGCTGCTTTATTTGTTTCCCAATTTGTGAATTGATATGAAGTCTTATATGCTAAAACCTTTCAGGTACTCTTATTTATATAATTTATAAATATGGTTTGTTCAAGTTGTTTTTTATTTTCCATAATCCCCAAATTGTGAACTGATATGAAGTCTCACATGCTAAAACCTTTCAGGTACTCTTATTTATATAATTTGTATATAAGGTTTGTTCAAGTTGTTTTTTATTTTCCATAATTTGTGTGTGAGAGAGAGAGAGAGAGAGAGAGAGAGAGAGAGAGAGAGAGAGAGAGAGAGAGAGAGAGAGAGAGAGTAATGCTGTCAAATTTATTTTGCTTTGCTGATAAAATGTTCTTGATTAATACAATTTAAAGTTTTAAATAAATTAGATATAAAGGACCTTAATCGCGAAACAAAATTGCAAGTATAATCCTCTTCAGTACCTGTATACTTGTATTTAAATTATCATCAACTATGCATTCTCAGGCAGTAGCCTGTTTAGAATTCTTTGTTCTCTCCACTTGTATTTAAATTATCATCAACCATGACACATTACCAAATCATGTTAAATCTTTCTGTTTTCTTCTATAATTTTTAATAACCTGTAGGCCTATGAAAACTAGATTGATTCAGTTTCTCCTAAGTTCTCTTATTACTCGGTTATCGATACTTAATTTTGGTATTTTTTCGATGCTTGTGGCAGATGTTAAAAATCATTAGTGATTTTTAGTGTTGAACAATTAGATTTAGGCATATAGAAACTTTTCATTGCCAACAAAGTTTAGAGATATGATTGAGACTATTGGAAGGAATAAAGTAAAAGTGACTATATTTAAATCTTTTTTCTGTTCAAAACCGAAGGAGAATTACTTTAGATTCCTCGTTCAAACTAGTTATGTCACTGTTCCTAATCTGAAAACCATTGTTTCAGTTTGTTAATTGTTGTATAAGATACTATCTGTAACGAAGGTAAGTTTCCATACTATTAAGTGCCTTTTATAGGTAAATGCGGAAATCAAGGGTGCTGGTCGAATTCTTCTTATGGTTTCTTAGTTTTTGTGGGTTCTTTCAATTGTGAATTGGTTTTTTTCCTAGGTTGTTTGGGCTTCCTTTCTATGAATCAATTGTTGGTACCGGATGAATGACTTTTAGCTTTTTGTGTTGGGACTTATTGACTTTTTTAGTGCTAACTACTCATTTTTCCATTTTTTTTCTCTCATCTTCAGCGAAGATGGCGCAT